TTTCTGCCTTTTCTGAGCTTCGTGGCACCTGGTACAGTCCTTTCTCATGATGCTGCTCAGGGGCAGTAAGCCACAGCTCCAACTCTGCCACACTTCATCCTCAGCTGAGGAATCCACATGCTGAGGGTGCTTTACTGCTAAGCCATGATTTTCAGGAGGTTTCTTCATCACTTTTTCGTCTCTGGACAAAATACCCAGCACCCACAATCTAAGGAGGAGAGGTTTCCTTTGGTTCACATTTTCACTCCATGTCAGCTGCCCCAAGGCAGAAACAACAGCAGAGGTCCCTGTGTGGAGGACAGGTGCTGGTGTCAGGAGAGCCAGGATGCAGAGAGGAGGGAGGAGCTTCGGGCCCTTTTCTGTGGGTCCCCACTGACCCAGCTCTTCCACAAAGACCCCCTCTGTAATGGCACTTTTAGCTATGGGTTTTTCAATAGTGAATAGAAGGCTCCCATAACCACCACCTTCCAAAACCCAGCCTCCAAACTCACGAGGCTTTCGCAGAACATTCTAGCAGAGTAGGTGTACTGAATGTATTTCCGCTGACCATATTTTCATTTGAAGCTGGGCTGCTGTAAATTAAGAAGTGTCTCTAGTTTGCTTGAGTAACTGTGGGAGTAAAAGGTAGTCTTCCAAGGATTACGCTGATTTTTTTCTTATTTGCAGCTGTGCTTTTAACTTGGTTTTTATTAATGTTTGACAGTGTGACATTTCAGGATATCTTAAAATATTATGATGCAGTGATGTTGTCATTATCTAATTTTCCTTATCATTTCTCAAAATTTCATACATATATACATGTGGCTTTTTAATGTTGTTGTTTTTTTGTTCGTTGTTTGTAAAGATAGCGGTCTTGCTGTTTGCCCAGGCTTGATATGTTGTGTCAGACTCTTGGACATGTCAAACCATGTTATCCTCCTGCCTCAGCCTCCCCAATAGTTGAGACTTCAGACACTACCATTGCTATATTCTTAAAATTTTAGAACAGATAATTTAAGAATAAAGAGTTCCAAAAATGATGCTTTTGCAGTATGATGCAACTTATAGCTTGTAACTAAAGAGGGATTTTTTTTTTTTCAATCAACACAGTAATTGTGAAGGCAGTATATGTACTTTTTACCCTTGGAGCTGAGATATTGCTGATCAGGAAGAGAGAAACATCTTACTCTCGTGGGACTTATGTTCTGGTGGGGAGGGTTAGAAATAAAAAATAATTAATAAAATATGTAAGTAAGTTTTAAGGAAAAAATAATGCAGGACAAACAACAAAAAGAGAACGGAGAAAACATGCTTGTGATTTTAGGTATAGTAACTCAGAAGACCTCTGTGAGAAAGTGACATTGGAATGGGGGGCTGACGGAGGGTAACAGCCATGAAAGTACCCTTTGAAGGACCTTCCAGCTAAGGGGACATCAAATGGCTACACCCGGGACTGCAGTGTCCCTGCTTTATTAAAGAGCAAAGCTAGCAGTGTTTGAGGGCTGAAATGAATATGAGAGAAAGAAATGACAGGGGTTAGAGCTTGCAGGATTGTGTGGGTGTTTGAAGGTATTTTGGTTTCTATTTTCTTTGAGACGAGAGCCACCAGAGCCTTTAATCAGAGGAATGACTTTGCCACATATAATCTTTTTCACTTTTTGGTTTATTTTTTTTAAAAAAATTATCAGTATGCATGTATAGTACATAATCATCATATTCCTCACAGGTAGTTGGTACCTGTACACGACTCAATTTAAAATGAATTTCTGTGCTCTGCTGAATATACAGAAGGGGACTTAACGTAGACAAACCAACTAGTAATCTATGTAAACATCAGATGGTTTCATCCAACTTGGTGCAGTTGAACTCATGAGAAGCTGTCTGCTTAGAAGATAAAATTTACAGTATTTCCTCCTAGACTAAATGTTCTCCATGAAAGAAACAGAGAAATCAACATGACTTCTAAGTTTTTGGCCAGAACACTTCAAAGAATAGATTTGCTAAGAGAGCAGAGTGAAAGTGTGGTATCTGATGTCATACTAAGAACATCCACACGGAGATCAAATGGACCTGAGAGTTTAGTTCTAAAGATTTGATGTAAGAGGTATGGGATGGTAAAAATTCAAAGCCAAGTATTTAAAAGACTGGAGATATAGTTTAGTTCTAGAATGCTTGCCTCGCATGCCCAAGGCCCTGACTTAAGGCTTCAGCACACACTTACACACACACACACAGCATAAAAAGTGTGTGATACACAGATATAAACTGGAATATAAGATTAATGAGATGGATATGATCTTCATTCTAGAGGTACTTAGTTTACATGACTGAGGTATATAATGCTTGCAAAACTGAAGCCTCTAAAATAGGAATGCTTTTCCATTATCATGTTGTTTCATCTGGACTTTTATTTAATTCCTCAGTCTCTTGAAGGGAGTTTATAGTTTCAGCCACTATCTCCTAGAAGTTCAGTTATGCAGACTATTACACAGTAAACAAGATTCTTTAAACTTATATCTCATATTAGAATTAATGTCTGTTTTTCTTTTCCTTTCATCTTATCTACAACATTTAAACTTTGAGTTGTATCAAATGGGTGCTTCTGTCCCACTACTGTAGACATTCAGATGTCCAGTGTTGACGTGTTTCAAACTGAACAATCATAACTGGAAGGTGAATTCATCACTAGCCTCCTGGGTACTATGCTGAGTGTTACATACTTTTACTACTGACATTTTGACATCAGATATTTTTCTCTCAATGACTCTGCATGGGGTTTTTGTAGGTCCTACTAAGGCATGGAATAAATAATTTCTAATATTGCAAATACTCATACAAAAATTGGAGACTTTTGCTTGCTCTTCCCTCCTCTCTTTCTGTCTCCTCTCCTTCCTTCCCTTCCCTTCCCTTCCCTTCCCTTTTTTCTCTCTTTTCTTTCTCCTCTTCTCCTTGCACCTTTTTTTCTCTTAGCATCCTTTCCTCCTTTCTCATTTCTTTCCTTTTCACTTTCTTTTGTGTGCTCGTATATGATTATAAGTCTTTAAGATACATTTCAGGATGTCTCATTCCTGTCATTCTCCTCTTTGCTGAAAGCTGCTGTGTTTCAGATGGGCCCTGGATATCTGATCACAGCACTGTTCCTTTGAGTCAAAGAAGAGAGCATGTAGCTCTCCACTCAGGGCACACTAGCCACTGTCTGATCTCATATGCTAAAAGTAATTTAAAACCAGCAGAGGCTAAACACTGCTTTAATGGTATCCTCTAGAGAACAAAGTAGCTAAAACAAAACTTCTTATGGTTTTCTTTAACGAGTTGCACTGCTTATGAGAAATATATTCAGGAAATATAATTGAGAGTTGTACAGGCAATATTTTTAACCTGTTTCATTGCCTAGTGCAGGTCTTTATGAAATGGCACCTGGGAAGTCATAACTGGTTGCATGAAGTGGTTGGATTTAGATTACAGCACGATGGCTCATTTATAAGAATTTTTACATTAAGTATAATCTCAAAGAGTATGAAAAAAACTAAAAATAGAAGACTTAGATATGTATGTATTTTACAATTGCCCTAAGGTAGTGAGGAAGATAATTAACATAGTTACTTCTGTCTTAAAACAGAGAAAAAGAAGTGTATGATCTACACAGAAAAGGTATCAGATCTACTTCTGAAAAGGTATCAGAAGTGCAGCATCTGCTTGTTTCTAATAGAAATTCTTTCACGTGAATTACTATACTTCATACCTTTCTGGACATCCATCCAGTCAGTGTCACTGATCTATGTCTTTTAAATTTTTCCACACATGATATACTGTTTAGAACCTTTTTCTTGTTTTGAAAGCACATTTTAGATTTTGGGGAAGTATCCATTTTGTAACTGTAAATCTAGTACACTAATTTTTCACAACTTTGTTAGATTTATATAGAATAACTTACTTACACCTTGTTAATGAAGTTAGGTATCTAGAGCTTTGCAGCAAATCTCAAAAGAAAGGAGAGGACAGTCCTAGGAAAATTTTCAACTCTGCTCCATTCTTTTGCTATACAGGTATGTTGGGCCACCATGAATATTAAAGCTTTGAATGAGTTGTTTAGATGGAGGCAAGCTGCCATAGGGTGACCACTGAGTTCTGAACTTAGAATTAGTGTAACAGTGGAATAATGTGCAGGCCATAGAACAGGGAAAATGTGGAGGTGATAGGATTTTTTAATACAAGCTAAAAGATGCAGATTCATGAAGTATAGACTCAGTGTTCATTAACTTTTTCTTGTTTTTTATTTTTTAGCTCTGCTATCTGCTTTATGCTGTTATTGGTTTAGTAATTCTGAAAACTTATTTTTCATCTCTGTATAACAGGCTCTATTAATGTAAACTCCTTCAAGGATCTAAATTCCTACCTCCTTAAGCCCTTCAATATGACTATAAATCCAGTGAATATCCTCATTCATTTAGAGCTTTCCCACCAAATAAATGGAACGCATATGTGGCTGTTCATCAGAATTAACAGAGGACTTTTATAAAAATGCATACTTTTATGAACTCAGGTTGAAAATTCTGATTAAGGATTGATTGGATGCAGGATGCAGGATTGCATATTTTACATACAAAAGAAAATTCTCTGGGTAATTCAAAACCCAGTAGAAGCATCACTTCCCTCAGTGTTGAGCTTAATCTTTTGAAGACAGTATACCTCAGCAGGAGTTGCATGAAAAATAATCTAAAAGGTAACACTGGTTAACAGACCAAAGCTTTCCCTTGAAATGTTTGGCTGATCTCTTCTTGCTATTTATGTCCTAAAATAGGTGCACTGAAGAACACTACTGACATCCCTGAACTGACCCACACCTTAGAAAAGAGATAAAATGCTTTGCCTGTGGAAGAGAAAACCCAAATAATTAACTCCTTTTATGCCTTGCAGAGGTGGAAGCCATCTAGTTTGTTATTAAAATCGTGTTTCCTGAGTCCAGACTCTTTCTACTTTGCTATGCACAAGTACAACTTACTGTCTTTTTGTGTTCACAGCACAGTGACGCTGTCCATGACCTCCTTCTGGATGTGATCACATGGGTTGGAATTTTGCTGTCGCTTGTCTGTCTCCTGATTTGCATCTTCACGTTTTGCTTTTTCCGTGGGCTCCAGAGTGACCGGAACACCATCCACAAGAACCTCTGCATCAGCCTCTTTGTAGCGGAGCTTCTCTTCCTGATCGGAATAAACCGAACTGACCAGCCTGTAAGCCCCTGCACCCACAGTCCCAACGGAGGGAGGGAGCTCTCCCTTCCTGCTGGTCCATACGGCCAGTACTGGGCACACCTGCAGTCAGGGTTGAAAATAGCCTTTCTTTCAGTTGATAGTAATTTTCATACCTTACTCAGCTCTGACTTTTCATGTTCCATTATCATAAAGAAACAGTGTTACGGCTGAGATGTACCTTTCTTCTTTTTTCATGTGTTTGTGTATGACAACCATTTTCTTTTTTCTACAAAATTGTGCAACAAGTTCAGAAATGTTCCGTGTAGCCTTCTCCTGTTGTGCAGGAGGATGAGGATGTGAGGGCGGCCTTATGCCCTGCTACTCCGACAGTGAGGGGTATGTTTATGCAGGATGAAGGCATCACTGTTCCTCAAAGCCATAGTTTCAAATTCACATGGAATTTGTGGTAGGTATTGTATATTCTACAGGCCTGGAGATATGGATAGCAGCGTACATCCACTCTTAAAATAACACAGTGCCTAAAAACTCTCTGTGCTCCTGCTATTCATCCCTCCTTCCTTTCTAAGCCATTTCAATCACTGATTTGTTTTTACTCTCCATATTTTTGCCCTTTCGAAAATGGCATATGGTTGAAATTATGTAGGATGCAGATTTTTTCGAATTGGCTTCTGTCATTTATATACATATATACACACACATATAAGTTTTCTTGCTGTCTTTTTTAATAGCACTGAATAATCTTGCAGGGTATCATATGCTACTTTATTTAGCCATTACTCTAATGAAGGACATCTTTGTTGGTTGCTTCCAAGTCCTTACAGTTCGGCATAATGATGCTGTAAGCATCTCTAAATGGGTATGTTCTCATCAGCAATCAAGGAGATGGATATTTCTTCAGAAATTCTGTTTTGTAATCTTTCATAACCTTCCTTTCTAAGGAACTTCGTATTTTCATTATCTTTGTATTTATGCGTTTAGTAGTGAGATTGACCCCAGGACCTCATACTAAACTACATCCCTAACTCTTGTTATTTTTAATTGTGTTTTGGGACAGATTATCAATAAGTAGCTCGATGGCCCAGGCTAGGCTTACCTCACAGGTCGACTTCAACTTCAGTGCTAGTATTATAGGCATGTGCTATCACACCTAGGTCTCATTATATTTTCATTAGTTTTTAACTTGTAGATCAGAGTATTGGGGAAAGTTTAATAGGATCCTTTAGGGAATAGCAATATGTCACTTCTAATAGATATAACTGTTATTTTTGAGTATTATAATGTATTTCTAAAACTGTCTGCTTGTCAAAAACAGTTTTACAAACTGCATGTGAATAATAATTTTCCTGACTGTCATATTTTAGAAAACAATATAAATTACGGGTCAGTTTTAGGACATAAAAGCTCTTCCTGTGTTTCACGTGGCATTTTTATTTCTTGGATTTCATTCATCTCTTAGGGCAATCCTCATTCTCTACTGCCTGAAGAAAGGAAGGGAAGAAAGGAAAGGAAAAGAGAAGGAAAGAGAAGAGAGAGGACAGAGAGGAAGGGAAAGAGAGAGGAGGAAAGGCTAGAAAAGAAAAACTGGAACCGCACTATCCAGTTGGTTTTGGTAAAACAGGGGAAAATATACAGATAATACCTGATGGATAAGACTGGCTTTAACCATTCATCATTCTTATGAGGCCCCTTTTGTTTACTTACAATTCATGTACATAGTGTAGGTTTGTTCCAGTGATTAAACTGCAAAGCAAAGTAAAATTTTTGTTTTAAAGAAGACTTCAGAGCATAATAAAGAATCCAGTGACTTAATGCTGTTCTCCAGTATGTGTCCACACATACGGAGTGCTTTATAATAAAAAATGCAGTTAGATTCATGCCTATGATTATGCATTCATGATTAATGACTGTAAAGGATACAATTATGGTTAATATATTTTTAAGTAGCTATTTTATACTTATGTGACAGCTTTTCCTATAAATTCATGTAACTGAATAAGCAATCAAAGAACACATTTCTTTCCCTGCAAAGTAAAGCTGTATCATAACAAAAACTAATAGTTTATGTTCTAACTTGACGAAGCAGTAAATGAGAAGTTATATTATTTTCCCAGAATAAATAATTTTATTCCTCTGTTAACCTGTGATTCAAATACTGTGTGATTTCTTTTTACTTAGAAATCTTTATTTTTGTTTCCTGGTGTTAACACAGTACCAGCAACTTCACTAAACATTGCATATTGCATAAAACTAGTTTCTGACATGAAATATAAAGAATAGTAATTAATGATACGGAAAAACATGGATAAAACACAAGTCAACTGAACTTGTTTTTGCTTTTATAGCTAGTTTCCATGTCTTTAAGCCTGACTGTCTCTCATCTCAGATGTATGATGGCCTCTCGTCTCTTTCCAGCCACTGAAAATGACTGTAGTTCACTCATTTCTTAGGGATCTTACTCGTCAATGAATCCCCACTCACTCCTCTGACCATGTGTGTCAGTTTTTGACCTTTTCTAGTAGGAGTTATTGATTTTAGACCAGACTTCTATAGAAAAGAAGAACATAAAGGAACAAGAATTTCAGGACCTGATATAAGAATGGGAAATAAATAGATGATTGGCGGAACCTTATAGAACCTGTGGCTCTGGGGTTTGACTCCAGGACATTCACACTGAGCTACATGCCCAGCTTGTTGTTTCCTCTTTTTATAAATCTTGCTAACGTAGTCCAGGTTCAAACTTGTAATCTGCTCACTTCAGTCTCCTGGAGTGGAAGGATAACAGGCAGACAGCAGCATAACTGTCTACATTGTAAAAAAATGAAAAGCTGTCTTTTTTTAACCAAGTTTTTCTAGACTGTTAGTACAAAAAAAAAAAAAAATAGATAAAGAGGACACTCCTGTAACCCTTTATTTTACCCAAATCCACTTTTACATTTGAGCAGACTAAAATTTGTACTGCCATCTAAATGTTTTCTGAGGTAAGGCGAGCAATTATTACTGATAAACTCAAATAGTCATTAACATTAATATTGTTCATTTTTAATAAATTTTATTCCTTTTAGTTTTAATGTTTTTCTTTCATTTACCATTGAAGAATTTAGGCCTTGAGGGTATAGCTCCGTGTAGACTGTTTGCCTGGCATGTACAACATCCTGGGTTCAATCCCCAGCAATGAGAACAGGGAGAGAGAGAGAGAGAGAGAGAGAGAGAGAGAGAGAGAGAGAGAGAGAGAGAGAGAACTTAGGACTCCTTAGATCGAGCTCAGTACTAGCTATCCATGGGCACTTTGTAGACTTTCCCTAATGCATCATAATTTTTCCTTATTTTCATCCATAAGCCATTATTGATGTTCAGCACACCTTTTAAAATATGTTACATTTTCTTAGTCTTAATGTTTTTACTGAAAGAATCACACGTCAGGGATTCCCCTGTGAGTCTGTTTTCTATTGCAGTATTGGCAAATGCTGATTTTGCTTATGTGCTTATGTGCAGTTGACACACAGTCCCGTGGTAGAGATGTGACTGGATGTTTTATTCCTTCCTAGATTGCCTGTGCTGTCTTTGCTGCCCTCTTACATTTCTTCTTCCTGGCTGCCTTCACCTGGATGTTCCTGGAGGGTGTGCAGCTCTACATCATGCTGGTGGAGGTTTTCGAGAGCGAACACTCCCGCAGGAAGTACTTCTATCTGGTGGGCTACGGGATGCCCGCCCTCATCGTGGCCGTGTCAGCTGCCGTGGACTACAGGAGTTACGGGACAGACAAAGTGTAAGTGCACTGTTGCTTTCCGTGTTGCCTCTCTCCTCTGTGAATCCAGTTAAAACAAAAGTGTTGGATTTTCTTTTCTTTTTTTTTTTTTTTTGGTACCTGGCATTGAACTCACGACCAGGCAGGTGCTTATGCCACTGAGCTAAATCCCCAGCCCAAGTATTGAATTTTCTGTTATCACAGAAATTGACATTCTTCAATGTCTGGTTAAGCTTTTGGTAAAACATAAAAAAGAACAGAACATTCTTGAAACTCAGTGTTGCGTTTTAAAAACAGTATATTTTTCTACAGCACACCTGAGTCATTGGAAGGATGATCATTTTATTATTTTCCAGGGCACTCAGGTATTTGTCTCATGTAGAGCTACAAACAGATGTATTGTCACAGAATGACATACTTCCCAATTCTGGTGGCCTTTCTTTTTTCCACTAATTTAAGTCCTACTCACTGGAAAGTTTTCTATATCTTCAACACGAAAAATGTAAGAGCAGGAAAGGCTTGTGTTTCTTTTTTTTCTTTTTCATATGTGGGCTTGGAGTGGGTTGAGTGACAAATTTTATTCCTAGTATGGCTTTAAATTGGTGACGCATGCCTGGAGAAATGTCCAGCATACTGGAAAGGTGTGCAGCAGAAAATGCTTTTGTAACATACGTAAATACAACTTTTGAAATCCTGAGAATTAATGTAAGTCTCAGGACAAGAAAGTAGAACGTAAGCTGAGATGGGAGTCGGATAAAGGCCCGCATTTAGGACACAGACTGAGAGTGCAAATGAAGGTAGGAAGCAGAGGTAACAGAGCCCCAGGAAGAACTGTGGTATTCTTAAGGAAAATGAGAGTCAGGTTTCAGTTCTTTCTAAATCAGTGGTTATGCGTTCACAGGTAACTCAGGTCGGCTAAGTACTCAGCGAAGATCACTTGCCCTTTGAAGAAGCTGTTTTGAGAAAGTGCTGGAAGCAGAAACCAGGTGGAAAGGCAGGCAGAGATAAATCAGGAGTGAGAAAGTAGAGCCTTCAGGTATTTTAGTCAAAAAACAATGAAAATATTAGTTTAGGTGGTTATGGTAATGGGGGAGGATTTTAAAAGATGAAGTCCTAAGTATGCAGTCCTAAGTTCTAGGTGAGAAGAATCAAGTTGATAAGAAATTGCTGGAGAGAGAAATATCAAATGCTCCATGTGCATTCTGTGTATAAGGCTGAGTGCAAGGGAAAGAACCCGGGCACTGGTGGCGTATTGTAGCCAGCTGTTTTTTTATCATTGAAAGTTCTGAAAGGTTTGCCACTGCTGGTCTTGGGACTCAGAGAATGGATGTGATTAACACGAGATTAAATAGCTCTTGATTCAGTATTGACATCAGCTTCACATGATATTCATATTACCAATAAGAGAGAAAATCAAGGACCACATAAGTTAAGGCCTTACTGCCTGTTATAAAGCTAGATCTTGGCAGGCATGTGGTATACCAAGTTAGGTTAACTTAGTAAAGACTTTTTTAACATGATAAAATGATCTTTCTATTCTGAGATGGGTGTGAAGGGAATAGGCAAAGAAAATTTTAACACAGAGAAATGCTCCTATCTAGGAAAAGCTGAGGTAACATTGAAAGGACAGGAGATTTGAAAAGCTTTAAAATAAGCACTATAGAAAGTATGCTAAGGAGCCAATTAGACATTAATGAGAAGATTTCCAAGCAGCAGCAAAGGCTCAGATGAGGTTAGATAACATCAATTTGTGCAGAAGTTAATAAGCTAAATTTCATGACTTTCTACCATGAACCGTTTTAATCACCAATCTGGACATTCTGGAAATAAAGCAACTTGCTTCCCAGAAATGAGAATTCCTAAAAAGGGGAGACCTCAGAGGACACCAGAACCATTGGGAGCTTACTTAAAATAGCTTATGTGTTGGTGAATAGAAACAATAGAATTAAAAATTGGCCAGAAATATAAAATAAAATAAAGAGAAATAGAATAAAATAAAGGAAACAAAAGACCAGCTAAAATTGTTACTTTCCCCTTAAGTAGGGTCACAGGCTGTGTAAAGGCATTTGTCTTAATGTTACAAATAGCAACACTTTTTAAATCAAAATGTGTCAATTATAAATGAATTTGAGTTCATTCTGTGGATACCAGTTGTGGAAAATACTAAAACTAGGGAAAAAACATGATTTGAGGTAGTCTTGAAAGATATCTTAAGGACAAATATAAGATTGATCATACTTTTAGAGAATAGCTTTAGTGATACTCACGTATCATAAAATTGATGTAACTCCTTTAAATCGTGTACCTCAATTCTCTCATATATGTTCACAGTTCATGTACTCATCATCACCATTATTAGGATATTTTAATTTACCTAAAGAAACCTGTTAGCTTACTGCCCTCAGTCATATAACTTTACATGTTGATTAATGTACTTCCCATTAACAAATTAAGCCGAATGATACAATATGTGACCATATCCCATTACAAATATTGTTCTTAAGTAGTTCTAATTTTTTTCTTGAAACTCTTGATCTGCTTTTGTTTTTGTTTAAAATTTATTTTTCCCTTACACATTTGCAAATTTTTATGTTATTGAATGACTCAACTTGTTTGCTTTGTGTTTTAGTCATGCATTTTGAGACAGATGTCACTTTCTGGATAGTTGGAAACCATCTATTCCTAACTTTGTTAAAGCTTTGGCTAGTGTTTTTTTTTTTTTTTTTTTTTTTTTTTTTTTTAATTTCCTGTACTATACCTGGAAGTTCTCAGTTATTGACATTATAATTTTGTAGGACTAAACGCTAACTTATTTTCCAGGCACTCATTGAAACAAATATCAGTAATTCAGTTTTGCAATGATGATTTTCCCCAACAGATACTACAGCTGATTTTCCCAAAATAGATACTACAGAAATAGAGAAGGATAGGTAAAAGAGAGATTAGAGTGAGAAATTTTCATTAAAGTTCTATAAAAAACAGATGTAAAAGATTTTAATATCTGTACACATTTAAAATAAATTGTTCGCACAAATATCTTTGGAATACACAGGAAAAATGTTTAACTTCGATTTTTTTAGTTCATCCAGCCATTTCTACAGCAGCATTTTATGTTTTGCTCTTTGAAGGATCAGGTACCGGGAAGAGAACAATTGTTCAGTCACTGGTGTTTAACCTCACATTTCACCACATGACTCTTCTGTTCATGTAACTCTGCTGTTCCCTTCCAGGTTACTAGTGTTGCTGTCCTATGTGCTATGTTGATTTTTATGTAATTAAAAATATGTTTAAATTAGCCAGAATTCTGAGAAATAGTTATTCTCTATAAATTTCATGAATTTCAAAATAGTACATTTTTATGTTTTAGAAGTCTTTTTTATTTATTTGTGGAACACCATGATTCCTAAATTTTATTTCCTCAGTCTCTTCTACTTAGACTGCATGTAAAATAAAATTGTTTAATGTGTATCGCAATAATCCAGAGAGTAGATATTTTTTCCATTTTTTTCCCCTCTTACTCTGATGAAGTTTTTCATTATACTAACAGTGAAGTTTAATATTTGAGGCCTTTAACAAAAACAATATTAGCTTGGATTTCTAAAAACATAACAATGGCATGAGATAAATATACAGATAAAATATTTGTAAGGTAAATAAATGTTATTTTGATACAGATAGAGGTAACTATCATATCTTGCTGATGGATTATAATATGATTTTCTATGAAATATTAGGACTGTTGAATTTATTATTTTGTATGAAGCATACATAGTTTGATTTTGAGATGTTGCCCAGTCTGTCAACTTGCAGTGCTTATAAGAGTCATTTTTTGATGTTTCACAAAATCATATTATCTAACATCTAAAAATGTAGTAAAAATGATATTTGGACACAATAATCTGACATTTGAAATTCTACTTAAAGGGTAAATTTTTTTTTTTGTAAATAATCTGCTAGTGGACCTCATTAATTGCACAGCTAATGAACAGTTGTTTTGATTTTATCTCTGTTTTTGTATTTTCTCTTGATTTCTCACACATTCTTATGGACATTCAATGAAGTCATTGAATGGAATATTCTCAGAAGATGGTGATAGCAAAAGTTGGCATTGACTTAATAATAAATCAAAGAGACACTTTTGGCTATTCATTGCTAAGTATTTTGGTTTTATCTGAAACTAATCAATGACTCAAACTTTAATTATCTAAATATTATCCAAAACTGCAAGCCTGTTACAGTTAACTTTTACTTAAGGAAAAAATGAAGTTTATAATTTCTAGCATTTTTCCCCTATCTTCACGCACACAATTGAAAAAGCAGTGGTTTGGAGAAAGAGAAAATAAATGGGAGTCAGGAGTAAGGACATCTCTGGGAAAGGATGAAGCTCAGAGGAAAATCTAAGAGAGAAATTATGGACTAGAAAATTAATAAGGAGTTTCTAAAAGACACAGATTAAGTCATGAACATTTATAATCAACCAGAAATCCTGGAGTACTATGCGAATAACCAAGCTCATAAAAATAATTACAATCAAATTTTATGATCTAAGACATTTTAAATCATCTATGAAATCATCATTTCTCTTCCGAGCTGGCTAGATTAAAAGAAGCTCTAAAAGAAGTGTTCTTCGTTAGTCATGAACCCCCAAATTCCTTTATGTTCACTTATTCAGCTAACCAGGATAAGCAGAGAAGTGATTGTTAATTTCTTTTTACAAAATACTATATTGTAGTATTTTTCAAAAGACAAAAATCCATTAAGAAACATTAAACTTGCTAATATCTAGTAAAATATGTACAGAATTTTTTATACGGTTGCTCATCTAAACACTTAAACCTACTAAAAAATCATTTTGATTTGGAATATTTCTGAAGCCATTATTGTATGACATTGCATTATAACACTTCATTGACATCAAATGGTTTGATTGTATTACCTTCAGGCATGTTTAATTATAGTTGGGGCCCTTGGGAATACTACACAAAATTAAAAAAAAAATGTTTGTTTGAAAGACATATTGG